CCAGTGCCACCGGCCACTGGGACGCTCCGCTCCACTCCCCTCCCCGCAGGGACCCGACTTTTCATCCGGAGCCACGTTGGTGTTTCCAGGCTGGGAGGAGAAATCCCACTGGGGCAGGATGGGGCCTCATCCTGGCACGTCCTGGGACAGGGATGCTCAGCAGGATCAGGGGTACGGTCACTCCCGGCTGTAGCAGCCTCAGTTTCCAAAGGACAACAGGGTGCTCACTCCAAAAAGGGTGCTGAGCCCGCAGCAGGATCCGGCCCGGTCAGGGAAGGCAATCCGAAATCCAGAGCATCTCCCGCCAGTGCTGAGGCCAGAAACAACCCTGATGGGCTCTCCTGGCCCAGACTCAATTAAACCTCTCTGCAAGGCTGAGGGTGCAGGGAGCAGAGCTTGGGAGAGGTGTCTGGGGACCCACGTGGTGCTGGGGACACGGGTGTGATGGGACACAGACCCTGGCCGGGGACAGGGTTGCATGGATCTGATGGCACCCATGGGAAGGAGCTGGAGAGCCAGCCCTTCGGAAGCGATGACAACAAAGCTGGGGCAACCAACGCAGTTAATTAGACTCGTCCGGAAGTAATTATATTTGTTCCACTCCACTGAACTTTAAAAAGTAATTAATGGGATAGAAGGTGACTGAGGGGGGTTAAAGGTTTGTCGACAGCAGCACAGAGGGGCACAGAGGGAGGTTGATCCTCCCACGAGCTGCTCCGACCGACAGCGAACTCGGATGACTACGCCGAGTCTCCCAGCACAATACAAAGACGAGAATCTCGTCCTTATTTTCCAGGTGGGGGAAACTGAGGCACAAGGGGGGGGTACTTGCCCAAAGCCCCTCATCAGGCCAAACAAGGACTCACCACCCCCAACCCCACCACAAACACTGGCCAGATCACGTAGTTCAGTTGTTGGGTTTGGGTTTGGTTGGGTTTTTTTTCTTTTTCTTTTTTTAATTCCTCATGTTAAACTAAGGACCACCAGCTCCGTCGCTCGGAGAAAACAACAAAAGGCACAACAAAAATAAAGTAAAAGTCCAAATACTTGAGAAAAACAACTCCACGTTAGGAAAGGATTTCTTGAGACACTGTTTGGAGTTTTATTGGCAACAAGGCTCTGCCTTTCACATGCTTGGCCCCGGCCTCGTGACCCGCTGCCTTTTCCCACTGGGAACCGGAACGGAAAGCAGAGGGACCAGGAACCTCCGTGTGCTGCCGAGACAGCCCGCAGCGCCCCGCTGGAGCGCCGGGAGAACCCGGGTCTGTCCCCCCACGCCCCCCCGCATTCAGCCCTTGGCACAACGGCGACGGCGCTTGCCTGCGGGAAGAAAACGGCCCAGTAAAACATTCAGAACTGGTTTGATTTAAAAGCAGACGGTGGGGAGGCCAGCCTGGTCCTTGCCAGCCCCGCGGGAGACGTCCCGGGAGGATGCGTCCGCACGGCTGGGGAATGCCGGATCCGGGATCATTCCTCCTCGGAGTCCCGCAGCAGCACCGGCACAGTTCTGCCCTGCAGCACTCGGCCAGGCACGTACCAGCAGCCAACGAGCCTGGATACCCTGTTTCCTCGACACGGCTCTCCCCTGCTTCCCGCTGGGAGCTCCCATCTCCTGTAAACACCCAAATTCTCTTTGTAGGGGAAGCCTTGAGATCCGTATTTCCATTGCACCTCTTCCTGGCAGATCCAACACTGCAAAAAACACGTCGGGGCAGAAACGCCTGTGGCTTCCAACTGTCCCCCACCTCTGGAGGGGTCCAAAGCCCCGGGACGCCGTACCCAGGTGCCCTTCCCAGGCGTGGAGAGGATGGGGAGAACAAGGATTGCAACGTTATAAATATAAAATCATTATCTGCTACAAACAGAAAACGTATATTGTACATCTTTGACCCATATACACAAGAACACAATATACATGGAACGCCTCGGAGGAGCGGGGGCTTTGCAAGGGGATTTTGGGAGATGCTGCTCCCCTACCCGTCCTGCCCCCCTGGAGGGGACTGTACCGACAGCACATCAGTCACCAAAAGTCTCGTCAAGCAGCCGCACATGATTCGAACCGTGCGTGGATGGAGTGGTCTCCCCCCTCGCCGTGCCCACCCCGCTGCCCTGGGGGAGAGGGAGGCGAAGAGGATGGAGAGGAGAGAGGGCAGGCGCGAGGGGTTCTCTCGCAAACCCACAAAGTGCTGGGGGTCTCCAGACCCTCGGAGCGAAGCTTAGGCCCTGAGAGAAACTTCTTGCCCTGCTGCCCTCGGGGGGAAGGTTGTTCCGGCCAGGTGGGTCTCTGATAAGGCATTTTCATCCGGGAGTTGGAGCGAACGGTGTCGGAGGAGAGAAAGGAGCAGATGGGGCAGCGCACGTGGTGGCGGGTTAACACGAGGCAGCCAAGCCAAGGTGGTCCCAGGTGGCCAAGCCCAGGGCAAGGGGTGGAGAGGACAGGAGGGCTTTGTCCTCGGCTCAGTTTATCTGTAACGCTGCCCCCCACGTCCCCCTCTCCTCTCTTCAAGCCTTTTTCGAGCCACCGGCACGGCGTGAAACACTGACGGTTGTTGGAGTGGCACATCCAGGCGCGTGGAGTGGCAGACAGGCACACGTTAAGAGTTAAGACAAGAGTCGATGTGAGCTTTGTACAGCGAGGAGCAGCTCCCGGCCGGAGTGTCTGAGGACTTGGGACGACAAAATGCCACAGTGATCAGATCGGGCCAGGAAGGAGGAGTGGGACTGGGGAAGAGGAGGGAGTCGAGTCCTGGCACCTATCGGCGGTAATGATTGGGGGCGTCTGCAAACATGTACTTGAGTCTGTAGGCTTCAGCAAGCAGCAGTCCGATCTCTTCGTTACCCCAGTGTATCGTGGGCAGGTTTTGTAACAACATCAGAAGGCCCTGAAAGAGGGGATGGTGCTTAGTCTGGGGCGGCTGAAGGCAGAGCACAGATCCAGAGCAGGCTCGAGGCCAGTACGACCAGAGGCAGCAGCACCCAGTAACTTTCGCTCACCACACTCGCAGGTCTGAAAGGCTCAGAGACAGCATTAAGACGTGCTTGTCTTTAGATACGAATCGGTGAAGCACCTCAGATGCCACCAAACCCCTTGAGATGAAGGGTGCTACCACAGCGTCACAGCTGGACACCAGAGGGCAAACACGAAGGGACTTACTGTCATCACAGCCCAGGCCCAGGGAAGAGCTGGTATTTGATGTCTGAACCCTCCAACAGCTCAGTTCTCTGTCCTCAGCGCTGAGGTTACTTTTAGGCAAAGCTCCTGAGACTGGATGATACTGGAGCCAACTTTGAGATGACTGTTGACTGTGTCCACACTGAGCTTCCAACCGGAGCAATTCCCACCCCTCTACCCCCAGGGAATTAGCCCCGGCCCCAGGGACTTACTTGGAAGTCTTCCTCATCGAGGATCTCCTTTCGCCACTTGATCAAGAAGGCGGCGCAGACGTACAGGTGGAAATGTGAGAATCCTTCCGGCTCCGACTGCGGACAGCAAAACTCTGGATCAGCTCTTGCAGCTCAGCTGGAACACGACTAACCAGGACACAGACGTCCTACTGGGCCACCCATCACCCAACTGACTATAAATGTCCCTGGGCCACACTGCTTCGCTCCCCTCATCTCCCCAGCTGCACGGTGCTGCCAGGAGACCTCCATCCCCCCGTCTGCGGGGAACTGGTCCCCCAGTGACCAGCCCAGCAGGGAAGGCGATGTGAGCCTGCGTACCTGGTAGGTGTCCCAGAGGCGGATGGTGCAGCGAAGAGGCAGCTCCCTCATAAGCAGATTGTTCATCCAGCGAAAGGCAAACTGCAGGTATTCGACCTCGTACTTCCTAAAGTGATTATGTACCTGCTCTGAAACAGCACATTTCACTTACACACCTGGGGACCACAGTGCCCCAGCTCCCACACATGGCACTGACCCCGGCACGCCGGCTGTCACGTGCTTTCAGGCTGAGACCTTGCTCTCCCAAACACCTCCACTTCTCACCCTGTGCTACCTGGCCAGCAAAACCCCGTCCCCAGCAGGTTTCTAGCCGCCTCCACGCTGCCCTGGTTCCACCTGTGTTGTAGGCAAGTGTCTACCCCTGCCCTGAAGGTACTACTTGCAAAAGAGGCCTGCCGCTGTTGTGACAAGAGTCTCCAACCTGCTCAGACCCCTTTGTCACCTACCATCGATCCGGCTGACGAGTTCTTCCAGGGCTTTGACTTTCTTCTGGATCCCCGGCTGTGCAAAGGTGTAGTTATCCTGTGAGGAGAGGCCACGAGTCAGAAGCAGCAGCTCTAACAACAGCTAGAAATGCCCAAAACCAGATCCCCACCTCCACAGGTAGCCGAGATCACCACGAGCCGAGGAGACACAGCTCTTGAGCACCAGGATCATCTGTCCGCTGTGAGGTCCCTAGTCAGGGACCCTAGTCAGATTTAGCCCAGTGAAGCAGCAAAATCTCCTTAATGCTAGGACATGCAGATCGCTCAAACACAGCGAGATGACGGCACTGCTACCCAGCAAGGAGAGAAAAACCTCCACATCCCAGAGGCTCACCTGTATCCCGTCCAGCAGCTTGCTCATGCACCAGAAGCTATCGGCTTCGATGCTCCGTAAAACATCCTGCGACAGGTTCGCCACGTCAAAGTTCTCCACATCCTCTTCTGCAAAACAGAGGGAAGAGCATTAGGAGGACGGGACACACCAAGGGGCTTTATATAGCCGAGGCAGGGCAAAAGGCACTACAAGCTCCCTGTGTGATGTGTGGCCTGCCTGGCACAGCACCCATGCCCTGACCTACTCCTCCAACCCAGGCAAAGGGCTGAAGGACCCCAAAAGACTCAGCAGCCACGATCCCAACCCAGCCCAGCACCCCAGGGGACTGCGGGAGGGATCCTACAGCACTGCTGCTGTTGTTGTCCCTCTGGGGCGAGGGCTGTGCATGGACAAAGCTCCTGGCATGTGGGACCCTGCCCTGGGTGACAGCAGGTCTCTGCCAGTTGGCAGCACCACAGGGAGAACCAGGAGAGGAGAATCCCTCACCGCAGCCAGAAACCAGGGAAGCAAACGCTGCCCTTGGCCTGGGGCAGCACAACAGAGCTCAGTTCCCACTCCCAGTCAGATTCATCAGCATCATCCCAGGACTGAAGCACAATAGTGGCACCCAAAAAGCAGCTGCCAACCCTGAGGACCCATGAGGAAGAAGTGCCAAAGCCTCAGAAACCTCTACAGGAGAGCAGGACTCTTGGGCACAGTTGCAAGAACCCAAAAGCACACAAACACTTTCTTGAAGAGCAAAAGCCTCCAAGTTACACCCAGCACGGAGCTTCACAGCAGGGCCACGCAGCAGAGAGACTGCTCAGCTTCATAGAGCTGCTCTTCCTCCTTGAGCCCGGCTGGCAGGAGAGCTCCAGCACACAGAAGCAGCCCTGTGCATGGAAGAGCTTTGCTGCAGGGCAAGCAGAGATTCGTGCAAGCTTGTTTTTTGAACCCAGTGAATTGGCAGCCTAAGAGCTAACAAGGGTTAGTGGCAGCTCCGTCCCCAAAAGGCACTCACAGAGTGCAAAAGGCTTCCCTTGCTTTTAAAAGGGCTTATGAACCCCCAGGAAGGGCCAGGGAGAGAGCAGGGGCCTCGAGGGTGGCACGGTGGTGAGGCTGGCTGAGTTTGAAGCAGGGATCACCTGCTCCACGCCAGGCTCCCCTTAACCTGGACTCCAGAGGGCAACAGGCATGGGAAGGCAGTGGAAGGTAGGGATAGCCAGGAGACACAGGTCTGGCCCTCCTGGTTCGGCTGACCCAGCAGCTCCCTGCCTTCCTCCTCGGGAGGAGAGCACCCGTCACGCTGCTGATGGAGGCCTTGGAGGGAGCTGTCACACCGCTAAATCGGATCAACAGACACCAGGGCTGAACTGGCTCATCTGCAAACCCAGAGGCTCAAAAGATGCTTGTTAGAATTTCTATCTTCCTTGGAAAAGAGCAAGAGAGGGAGAAGATGGGGCTCAGGGCTGGAGCTGGGCCACCCTCTTGGCTCAGATACGGCACAGGGCAGCCATCACAGGTTGGCAACATTGTGGAAACCAGCGCTCACAGATCCTGCCCGCAGGAGGATGGGACGCACAGAGCCAGAGACTGCAACGCTGTACCTACCTCTGCCCTTCCTCTGGGGCAGAGCTCAGCTCCAGAGCAAACTGCCACCAGGAGCTTTAGGGACAAGCAAGGGCCTAACCCTGTGTTAATCTGGCAATTTTGCACTGCAGAAAGAGCAGCAAAGCTGTTTTCCAGCTGCAAGTCACCATCCAAAACTATCACTCTTCTGCTGGCTTCTCCGCAGCCACTCTCAAACGTTCCAGGCAATGAGAAAGGCAGGCAAAATCTGTTTAATGCCCATCTCCTTCCCTAGATAATGTCCCACACAGAGGAAGGAGGATGGACAGGTGAAGGAGCAGGACAGGGCCGCATGTGTACGGCCAGGCCTGGTGGGAGAAGCAGGCTCAGCCACGTAGGAATGCAGAAGACCTCCCTGTGCAGCTTCAGGTATGAGGGCAGTTATGGCACCAATCATTCTTATCCAGCTGGACTGAGGAAGGCAGAAGACCTCCCTGTGCAGCTTCAGGTATGAGGGCAGTGATGGAGAAGGGGATGCGGTGACCTGCCCAGGTGATGGGGGACACCCTGCTGCTTGCACCAGTATGGGGACAAGAGGAGCAACCCTGCCAGCACCCCGGTGTCAAAGCAGAACAGTGGCAGGAGATCCCCAGCATGAGCCAATGAACATTGCAAGAAGCCTTGGAAAAAAAACACCACTCCAGGTCTCTGGAGCGTGTGGCTCAGCACAAACATCTGCTCAGCGGCACCATTAGAGGCCCCGTGGATTTGAGATACTCAACATATGCCTCCAACAGGGACTGAGAAAGAGCCAGTGGCGCAGTGACAGCCGCCTGCCGTGGGGCTGGGGGCAGCCAGGACACTGCTGCCAGTGCCACAGGGTGCCCAAGGGCAGTGGGGCTTGGGGGAAGGAAGGTTCCTGTGAATGACACTTTGACAGGACTCAGGGCTGACATAGAAGGGACATCAAAGTCTCCCCCAAACCCTGGCCTCAAGTGCCAGGTAGGGCATAGCTTGGAGCAGATTAGAGGAGCCAGGGCTTCAGCCTCCCACATCCCTGCTTTCTGCAGGGCAGCTTTAATGACTCCCCATATTGTGCCAGCTGGGGCCTGGAGCAGGATTAGACCCCTGGAAAACAGTTAAACCCAGTCTCAGCTCACAGCTCTGCACAGCAGTGGGCAAGTCTGCACCACGTGCAGTGAGTGACAGGTCCAGGGCAAAACCAGAGCTCAGAACAAGGCTGACATTACACCCTGTCGCAGGGCGATCAGTGACGCCGAGGTACAAGGCTCCCTTCCCTTCATCCAGGCTCCACTTCTGCTCCTGGTTACAGGGAAACACAGTCTGAGTTTAACCATGACTAGGACTCAGTAACAAAGCCAGTTAGGAGCGAGTAAGATCAATGTTTTCCACAGCACTGTTCCTCTCTGCAGACTTGGTGAAATGCTAAACAGGTCCCAAAGCTGGGAAAATCCCTTAAGCAAGGCCTTGAACTGGGGATGGAAGTGGTGTCGTACGTCGAGATGGGCAGAGAGCACTGGGAGTGGGTGCAGGGGCCAGCACTGACACTGCCTGGGAGTGCTGAACTCCCTTGAGCTCCCTCACTGCCATTTCAAATGCAAACACAGGCCAGGAGAGCTGGGAGTGACTCTGCAGCACGAGAGGCTGCGGGACCTGAGCTGTTTTAGCAGCACTGACAGCTCAGCATCCCTGTGCTTGCTGGGCCCTCTCTGATCACCTAGGAAAAGGGGCAAGCTGTTTCCTCCGGCAGGTGCCGAGGTGCCATCCCTGCTCCAGTTCCTCAGATGCCAGACTGCCTCTCCGTCCTCACCGCTCAGCTCTGCCTCCCCAGCAGCACTGGCATCCCATCCGGAGGGCAGCAACAGCAGCTCAGCTGCTCCTGCAGCCTCTACACCTCCCTCGAGCTGTTTCCTCAAGGCACCACCAGCTGAAAACAAGCAGTGCTCAGCAATCTGTGGCATCCATCAGCCAGGATGAGGAATTGCTCCAGCTGTGGATCCAGCAGCAGGGGCCCAAAGTGCCCATGCTTGCTGCTATGTAGCCGAGGGAGCCGTGTTTGTGGAGGAGGCAGGCAGAGCATCACAGGAGAAGGTGGGCCAGCTTGCCACGCTGGGGGAAAGGGGAAAACACAGCAGTTAACTCTAACCCATCTGCCAAGGGCTCACAGCAGTCTGCCCAGCACCTGGAAGGAGCATGAGTTTTGCATCCAGACTGGGTGCAAGTACAGGAAAAACAACGGATCCCAACCAGCACTGGAGAAGGGGGCAGGGGAGTTCGGACATGGGGACTGGAAGCTCTGGGGAAGAGCTGCTTCTCCTTGCTTCAGCCCAGTTGGTGTCTTCTGAAGCTGGTCAAAAGGGCACACACACTGGATTCCAGGCATTGCTCAGAAAAGAGGGAAGCAGCATCAACGGGACCCTTTCAGTCAGATGGGAGATGCAGGTTAATAACAGTCATCCAGTTCCCAAAGCATCCCTGGGCAGCCAGAAAAAAGAGCTTCCTGTGAATGTTTTTCACTCATTGGTCTGTTTACCTCCTTCAGGACCTGGAGGGGCTTACACCCTTCCTCCCCACACCACCTACGGTGACGATGGAAAGGCCATACTACAGCAGTACGGCCAGCCAAGCTGCTCCAGCTACACCCTGAGCTGCGTTTAGTCCCTCTGCACACAAGGGCCTGGGAGTTTGCTGGGTTACCACTGGCTGCTGGTTTGCTGCTCGTGTCCACTTCAATGAAAGGAAGCTGCCAAATCGTTCCCTGAGTGTGTCTGGCAAGCTACAGATCATCCCCTACCCGAACCACCCACGTTTTCCCCACGGATATGGTTTAGCCCTTGGTGGGAAGCCAGACATGCCCTCTGAAGGACGTTTTAGGCCTTGGTCGAGTAACTGATACATAACAGAGACACCGTCAACCAGACACATGAATCAGCTGACAAGCTCCAAGGAGATATTTTAATTGTTCTGCAAGTTCATTTGTTGTCTGCAAATGCAATGCCTGCCTGAAGCGTGGGATGATGGGTTAGAAGCCTACAATGAACTTGGAGACGGGGACCAGCCGTTATCAGAGGTGTGACTGCTTTATAAAGAAGCCACGAGATTGACCGGTGGAAGATCAGGGTGTCAGCCCGGCCTTGTGCTGAACAACTAACCAAAGTCAACAGCTTGTCACCTCCCACCTCCGCCTGTCAGCTCTGAACCACACACACGTCATGGTCCTGGAGGGCTGCGATGGTCCTGCTGAGCCAGCTGCTGCAGGAGACAGCCCTTCGAAGGCTCCGACACAAACTGCTCAGCAAGGACAGCGGGCAGCTAAGCAGAGGAGCCAGCTGGCAGCACAGTGGGTCCCTTCCAACATCTTGCAGTCAGCAAAACACCGGCTCTGAAAGGAGAGCAGGGGCAACAAACCCATGAGGTTTGAGAACACAAAAAGCTGGTGTCGATGTCCCAGAGCCAGCTTTCAAGGAAAGGTGAGGGAACCTTTTCCAGGCCAGTTGTACAGACACTTCGAACATGGAAATACCCTCAGATGACATACAGGTGTACAAGCCCACAGTGGCTCTGTGGGCAGGGGCTGCCTGAGCCACATAGATTGTCCCCTTTCCCAAGGGGGAAACAGCTTGAAGAATACAAGCAGAACTTCCTTTGAACGAGAGATTGCCCACAGTACGGAGAGATGGCCCATGGCACGTGCAAAACCATGGAAGGCCTCTTTCGGCTCTCCTGCTGCAAGGACTCGGGTGTAGGGCAGACTTAGCTGATCCAGGGATCCCAAGAATTAGTGATCCAACACAGAGAGCCTCCAGACCTGCCCTGCCCAGAACCAGCCCTGCAGGGGCTGCTGTAGAGAGGAGCCAACGCTCCAAATCAGCGACTTCAGTCCTGTTGCAAAAGTGACACTAAGCACTGCCAGTTCTTCCCCACATACATTCAAGGCAATTACTGATCCTGACCTTCAACCCTGACTGCTACACAGCCAGACCAGGGAGGAGGTGACCACTGAGAGGAGAACATGGTGCTTCTGACCGAAAGGCTGGCTTTCAATCCCAGGCTCCAGGCACAGAAAGGCATGTGTGATGTTGCTTGGCCAAATTCAACTCAACGGGTCTCACGCAGAGGGCTTTTTCCTCCAACAAAAGTTTCAGAGATAGTTGGAAACAGGAAGGCCACATTCAGAGTGGAAGCTTCAGTCAGGGGTGAAAACAGCCCTGGAAGATGGCAAGAAGCACGACCCCAGCACATGATGGACAGGTCTGATGCAGCATGAAGAGAGAGTTGAGCCCCGACACCCAACACAGTACAGGACTCCAGGAAGCCACACCAGGTACCTGCAAGCAGCTCTGATGCTTCAGACCAGCTCCCTTCTTGCACTGATAACTCACTGTGCACAACTCTGCTTCTAAGCCAATAAATCAATCCTGAGCAACCAGCCTCCATCACGACTAAGTGCCACCAAAGCCTCCCAAGCAATACGGCACAGGAGAAGCTGCTCAAAGGGAAGCTGCTCAGACCTGACCCGCCAGGCTCTTCACCTCCCAGGAAAGGGAACTCACTCCAGCTGGTAGCAGAGGCACATTTTGTGCTTTCTTCTTCAGGCTGTAAGGAGCAACAGCACCTCCTAGGGATCAATCCTGACCACACTGGCTACCACAGTGGAGACTAAGGTGGCTCACCTCTTTGCAACATCCTTAGAAGAGGCAGATTGGTACTAGTTCATAAGGCCTTAGCTAGATAGTGGAAGGTTTCCAACGACTTCAACAAGCTTTGGATCAGACCTTAAAAATACTTGTTCAACAGGATTTCTCTGTCACTAATACAGTCTTATAAATTCCTTTTTCCTTCTCTTTACAATGAAAACTGAGAGCCTTTAGGCAGAGGGATTATGGCATCCCACTGTTCATGTCAACTCCAAAACGCAGCTGGAGCTGCATAAAGAATAAATATGCTACGGGTGGAAATGCCTTGATCTCCGGCTAAAAGCAAACAGCTGACAAGAAAGCCAAAAGCAGCAGGGAGGAGCCAATTTGCTTTTTGGAACTCTCAGCTCGAGAAGCACACCTGTACTAGCAGCACGGCACAGGAATCTTGATTTCAACAGTTATTTTACCTTCTCAGCAGGGTCTCTTTACACTTCACTCCTTCCTCCTAGAGCAGGAACTAGCTCCAAGCCCAAGTTCTGAGAGCAAGACTCTCCCCTCCTCCAGCTCTGTGTATCAAGGCTTTGCCTAAATCCCCTCGGCTCCTAAAAGAGCCCATTCTCCTCCAAGCCGTAAGGATGTTAAGCACATTCAAATGCAAATCCACCCTTAGCACTTCAAATTCCGTGGAGCTCAGCAAGGTTATGAAACTGAAGTCAATCCAACCAGGCAGCAAAGAGGTCAAGATGCATCTCCAGCCTGGTACAGGTGCTGAAGGAAGAACTCATCATCCCCTCCAGCAAGGCAAGCTTTTCTGATGCCAGCACTTCACACCATTTCAAACACCGTGGTTGAGAGGCAGCACCGTGCTTCAAGCAGCAAATGTCACTTACCAACATACTCAGAGAGGAACACAACAAAGAACGGAGTGACCAGGTCATTGATTCCCTGTACATAGCCGCTGGCTGGGTGTCGAATGGCCCAGATAAACAGGATTCTTTCAAAGATCTAGGGAAGAAGGAGGGAAAGCAGGTACCTGCATTAGCCGTGCACAAAGGAAAGGCAGAAAAGCATAACTGCTAAGCTCAGGGAACAGAGGTCATGCACTGACAGGCTCTTCTGCAGCGATATGGGTAAGATAAGAAGCATACAAGTCCTAGGAGAGACTCCTGTATGATGCACAGATCCTCTACACAGGCCAGCCCACACTTGCCAAAATCAGGCAGTCCAGGCTCCTCATCAAAGCCTCCACTGAACACCACGTGGGAAGCGAAGGTTGTTACCTGCTATCAGCACAACACTCCCAGTAAAACGTCTCAGACTGGGACAGTTCTCAACAGAGCAGCCTCCCCTCAACAACGTGTTATTTCCAGACTGCCCCAGCCCCAGGACACCATGCTCTGACATACCACGTACACAGGCTGAGCTTGTTTCCAAAGAGGACAGATGCTCACACCTCCTGGCCACCTCTCAAACCTGCCCCTGCTGGGCTTCTCACATACTGCTCTGCACAAAAGAGGTTTCACAGCAAAAGAGAACCAATGCCCTGTTCTGGCTCAAATGCCTTGAATTTGTCTCAAAACAGAAGCTTCAGTTCTTTTACCAACTCTTGGCTATGTCTTGCCACAACGGAGCTGATCTCATAACTTCTGAGCTTCAAGTCTGATGTCTTTCAGAAACACAGGACAAGACCAGACAGTTTCAGCAGGTATTTGCATCAAGTGTTCAGTCACAAATTTCCCTGCAAAACTAACTCACTAGTGGTTGCACTGGTCTAACTCCACACACACACCCCCCAAAGGCAAAGGTGGGGCAGGAGCTTCACTCCCCCTTACCTCCTGGACAAGCGGCTGCTGGAAGAGGGGGATGAGTGGGTTGGTCCTTGGAATGTCGATGTGGATCTGGAAGAGAGGACAGGTTACACACACCAGCCATGCTTTCCAGGGGCACGATAACTCATCACAGGCTAACAGAGGGGAATCCACCCCTCAGTGTCCCCCCAGGAGAGAGCTGCACTTGCTGACAAGCACAGCAAAGGCTACAGATGACAGCTGCACTGAGAAATGATCTACAGTTTTATCTCCAGCCTCCACTGTACAGGTGTGGGCAGGTGGTCAGAGCTGGAAAAGAGCTGAGGTCTGAAATCTAGGCACTAGATGAATTTAGGGAAGGCTTAAGCTAATATCCATAAGAAGGTGGACAGAAACATGGTGCCTTGTCTCCAAGGAGAAGACTCCTAACAGCTACAGCTAGAGCAAGTCCTGGCATGACCCCAACCACATGGACAAGCAGCAGCAAGAGGGAGGAAAGAGATACGACCAAGGCAGAAAGCCAGGCAATGGGCAGAGGGCTTGTACCTGTCGGTAGGTGTCTTGATGGTGCTCCTCATTCCGGGAATCATAATACTGCTGGATGAAGCCAAAGTACTCCTCCCGCTTGCGCTGCAAAGTCAGCTTTCGCCGCTCCATGTTTGCGGGGAGATAACCCTGCGGCAGGAAAATCCATGTCAGGGCAGAGCCTCTTCCCTCACCACAAACCATCCCCTGAAATCCTGCCAGTCAGCTGTGCACCCGCAAGCATCAGGCACAGAGACTCAGGAGCTGGGGAAAGAGCTTTCATGGGATTTGGCTTTCCCAGCCCTTGGTGCCTTTAGTGATCTTGGAGCAACTCAACTTCACGGGATTCAGTTTCCCAAAAACAGTGAACCACATACTCCCAGCACCAGTCTGGGCTTCATGCTCAAAGGAAATGGAGCGATTACACTCCCCAGTCAAAAAACTACGGCTCACCCGTAGGCTGGGCACAGATACAACACGAGCAAACCTGGTTATGGGACACATGAAGGTCTAGAAGCGCGTGTCCCTGGCTTGGCAGGCACATTCCCCCC